AATAGGCAGTCATGTTTTTGTTGAGGGTTTGTATGACCTCTTTCTTTTTGATTTTGGTATCCCTAAATTTTGCCTGAACTGTTTCTTTTGTGATTACAGTCAGCGGGATGCCCCTGTTTTGTAAGTCTCCTTCATAGGTTTTGACTTATTGGGTTTTTATTTTTGAGATATAATGACTGCCTATCCTTATGATTATTCGGAATCATCACTGTCTTCTTTTTTTGTAAGGACCTCTTTGGTGCCATTTGTTATGCACTTGGATCAACTGAGAGGACTACCCTGCCCCAGGTTATGATAAAGGGTTTTAATTTTCGAAAAGAAAAACTCCTACTTCTTTGGCTCAGAGGGGTTGACGAGGGATTATCTTCCTTATAACTCCAGTGTTTAGGGATTGAAGCAATGCCTGTACCTCATCAGTGGGGTCTTGTTCAAAAGCATACTGTAAGAATCGTGGTATCGTTTTCGTCATCCTCCCTCAGGAGGCTTAGAATTATTAACCGAGAATTGATCATCACAGAAAAATGAAAACAGTTTGCATATAGTGAATACGAAATAATTACTTCAAAACAGACATGTGTAATGCATTAAGGAAATAACAATGTTTAACATGAATAAGTGTTTGAACAATCAAAAGAAAATTACAACTTGAAAATTCTAATAAACACAAGTCTTTTAGTCTCAGGGCTTGTTACTTCGACTGGTGCATCTTGTAGGGATGGCAGGAGCATTCAGCCTGGCCTATCTGGGTGAAATCCACAGCTCTTTCATTAATCAGATCTTGAATCTTATTCTTCAGAGCCCAGCAGTCGTCGGTGTCATGTCCTGGACTGTCAGAGTGGTACGCACATCTTTCCTCAGGATTGTACTTTAGGGAGGTTGTGTTGAGATTCTTAGGAGGGTCCCTTAACGTCACCAGATTCAACCTCAACAATTATTGTAAAGCTTGAGACTGTGACACGTTGAGCTTGGTGAACTGCCTTTTAGGCTTGTCTGGCTTGCTTTGATCAGCCCGTTGTTCTTGACGAGGTCTTTGTTGGACCTGTGAAGTGGTAGCAGCTTGGAGAGGTCTATTCATTGGACCAGACCTTTGCCCTCTTGGAAGCTGTTCAATGACCTGGTCCCTGATTTGGGCTGGTTGCTTCATGGCTTGATGAAGCTGACTGATCATGGCCCTCAGCTCTCCTTGCTCCCGAGCTAAACCTTGGATGAGAGCCCTTTGTCCCAGCATCTGGGTTTTCATCGTATCTACCTCAGCTTGTAGACGTTTCAGCTGCTCGTCCTTGTCATCTTCGGGACTTTGCTTGGCCAAATTCCCCATAAGGAGTGTCCTCAACTCTTCCTGCCCCTTGGATAGGCTTAAGAAGATCTCCCTGAACTGAGTCTCTTGAGCATGAGGTCCCTGGTTATCTTGTTGGGAAGCCATTGCTGAAATAAACAGCGAGAAAGGTAAGTGACCTGCAACAAGGGTACCTGTTATGCAATGATGTGTAAGTATGCATGCAATGTTTTCAAGGATCTCGCGGGGTAAACAAGAAATTTGTTAGAGCTTGCATTTTGTAGCTTGATGGAAGGAACTGCATGTTGTAGGGAGTCCTTCTTCAAGAGTCAAGACTCACCATATCGAGTGGGTCATAGCCCCTGACTCAAGCTGTTAACCTTGGCTAGAGGAAAATAAATCCCCTTTGCCCCTTGCTAGACTTTTTGATTCACCACGACCTGCATCGCAAACCCTTGAGATCCTTGAAATGGATTAGTCCTTATGTAGGATGCATGCAATGGTATGATGTTATGTTATGCATGGAATGATGTAAGTAGGCCCTGTAATGAGTCCCAATTAAGGACTGTAAACAAAACCTGCAAGGAACTCATGTGTTAGATAACAAGCATGCAAGTAGTTCAAGTATGAAGGCACACAAGTCACACAAGACAACCCTTAGAGTTTAGGCCAGCATGAAGTTTGGGGTACTACCCTCTTGAAGTTGGTGGGCTCAACCTGTCCTATCAGAAGTAACCGGGTTCTAAGGGTCCCAATATCATTGGATTGCTTTCATTGTTCATCGTTTCGATTTAGCCACTGAACTGGCGACCGAAATATTCCAGGAAAGCAACCCTCAATTGAGTGTAGTATCGAGTATCAACCAACCTCGGACTGCACCAAAGTCAGTTATCTCACTACCCTAAAGAGGCCAAGATAGTTCAATTAAGGTTCCTAAGGTCAGTTGATGCTTCACGACACCACATGGAGGCCCCGTACTCTCCTTGACTGAACTCAAGGGTTACCGGTACACACCAAAGGGCCACATCAACGTAGCAGACTGTTTCAACCATGTCAGTATACCCCGCACAGTTCCCTCACAGCCTTGTTGCTACTTTCTAAGAAGGTATCCCCAGATCCGGGTTAGGATCTATAGAACTCCCGAGACAGTCCCACAATAATAAAGCAAACAAGTCAAAGCAATTGAAAACACAGTTATGAACTATCCTAAGGTACACCTCACTTTAAGTATAATCCCCAGCAGAGTCGCCAGTTCTGTGATCGGTGGATCTGGAACTGACTGTTTAACGCTGGTTCGCGAAATATCGCGGAAGCAAGAGTCGCCACCGTCTTTTATTTTCTCCAACATGGAAAGGACAAAAGCACAGAACAATTCCTTATTGAGATTTGTTCTCGGTTCGGGAGGTAGATTTATAGAAAGGGAAGGTGTTAGCACCCTTTCTATCCATGGTTATCCATGGGCTCTTAGATACTTGCTCATTTGTGTTTTCAAAATGTTTGTTTGCTTTTCAAAGTGTGAGTGGGTTTTGAAAAAAGTTTCGTGTAAAGTTTCAAATCTACTCTTGTATCGGTCCTCAAGAGTGTTTGAAAAGTTGTTTTTGAAAGCTTTTTGAAAGTGTCGGTGTGAAAAGAGTTTTGATTTGTTTTTGAATAGAGCAAGTATCTATGAGTCATCTACCTACCCTAAGGAATTAGGCTGTGTAAATATCCTTAAGGTAGTGTCATCCCACCATTGAGAGGTAGGTAGCACCACCGTTGGAGGTGTTCGGGTCAATTCGTTTGTAGGGATAGTGTGGTCACCGAGCAACAGTAGGACACCTCAGAAGCTACCCTTATGCCATTGATCCTTTTTAATTCCGAGGCAACCTTTCAGAGGCGACTGGATCATATCATGGACATAAGGACTTACTAAAACATCCTGTACTCGACGACCACAATTCGAGCTTGTAGGGACAATGTGGTCACCAGAGCAACAGTAGGACACCTTAGAAGCTACCCTTATGCCATGTTCATGGACATAAGGACTTACTAAAATGTCCTGTACTCGACGACCACAATTCGAGCTTGTAGGGACAGTGTGGTCACCAGAGCAACAGTAGGACACCTTAGAAGCTACCCTTATGCCATGTTCATGGACATAAGGACTTACTAAAACGTCCTATACTCGACGACCACGTTTCGAGGGGCAAGGCAACAGTGAGGCGTACCCTAAGAGTGGTGTGTGAATTTGTGTATTGTTTTCAGTTATGTTTTATCTTGTCATGCATTATGGTGATCTACACTTTGATTTTATTTGGGCCATTCATTCTTTCATGTGATTAGCAGTTAAAAGGGTGCGGAGAATAAAAATGCAGAAAATAAAGGTCCTACGCTATTACAAGGCGCGGGTCTACATCGCCAAATTAAACAAAAACCCGATTTGAATAAATAAAATGCGGAAAGTAAATGTCCTAATTATCTATTACAAGGCCTTGGGGCAATTACATAAGATTACAAAAAGAAAAATAGAAGCAAACGCGCGAAAAGGAATTATAATCGAAGGTGCGAGGGCGTTGGACCCTTTAAAGAAATTAAATTGGAATTACAAATTAATTAATTGACTTAATAAGAAAAGAAGTTTTTTTTTGTTGTTTTTGTATTTAATGGACATAAAGAAAATTAATTGGATTTTGAAATTAAATAAAAAACCTAGTTATAAATTATTTTTAATTATTAAAGAAAATATTTAATTTTAAACCTAATTTACTAATTGTTTAATTACAAGAGTATTTACAAAAATAATTAATAATTAATAATGATAAGAATAAAAAGGAAAAAGAATAAAAATACTAAAACCCTAATTTCTATATTTTTTAGTTATTAAGAAAATATTAAAATTGAAAACCTAAATTTAAACTAATTTGATTATTAAAATTTATTTACAAAATTAATAGAAATTAATATTAATAAAACATATTTTTTTGGTTTTATGATTTTTTTCTGATTTTTTTGGATTTTTATATTAAATGAAATGGAAACTAATTAATAACTAATTAATTTAATTTAATTAAAAGAAAATATTTTTTGTTTTTTTTATGTTTTTTTTTTATGAAATAAAATAGAAAAAGAAATAAAATTCAAGGTTAACCTAAATCTAAATCTATTTTAATTATTAAAGAGAATGTTAAGATGGCCTAATTAAAAACTAATTCAATTATGGTTTATTTACAAAATAAAAATAATAATAATAAAAATGATGATTATATTTTTTTGGGTTTTTTATGAAAATGTTAATTGATTAATTGTGTTAATGGTTAATTTAGAGAGAAAAATAAAATAAAACAAATAGATATAAAAAGAAAATAATGCAAACCCATGGGGGGTTTTGGGCCAAATAGGAGGGAGCACGAAGTCGCGGCAGAAGCGGATCTGGAAGCGGCGGTTGAGTCCGCGGTTGCGCGGCGGAACTGCGATTTGGACGCTTCTCGTTCTTCTGTTTCTGATTCAGAGAGCCAAATTCCAGTCATGATCTTCACAAAGAATTTTATGGATAAAGTTCAAACAATCAAAAAGAAAATTAAATAGAATAAATGAAATTCAAAATGTTAGAATTTTGTGTTGCTTTATCATGACTCAATGATGTTGTTGTGGTGCTGTCAAGAGGATGATGATTTGTGGTTGCATCAGTTTTGAGCTCGTGTCAACGGTATGAACATGAGCTTGTGTAAGGTTTCTGTTTTGGTTGATGAGATTTTTGTTAAAGTTGGTTCATGGGAAATTGCACGTGAAAAGTGAATTTACAGTGCAACAAGAAGAAAAGTGGGTGTTTCCATCGAGTGGCCTCCGTACAGGATTTTGTATAAGAGAATATGAGGTTTTTTTTGTGTGGAATTTTTTGTTTTTTCGTTTTAGAGAGTTCCCTCTCTTGTGTTGGCTTGCATCCATGTTATGTAATGAGTTTTGATCAAAATTATGGCCAATAATGCAATGCATTCATGCTTGGGATTTTCCATAAACTCCATTGAAGCACTTTCCATTCTTAAGCCAAAATTTGAATTCTTGCTTCTTTTAGCCCCTTGCACGAAATTGGAATGTCAATGATGATGTATCAAAGCAATTCAATACAAGAAATATCCCCTTAATTAACTTCTTTGATTTTATTTGATTTTAAATGATTTAAAATGAATTAAATCAAATAAAATTAAATAAAAATGAAAAAATTAATTTTAAATTTTGAAATAATTTGTGGGACACGTGGGAAGCATGGCCAAGCTGAATCAAGCGGAAAAAGTGGGCCCCTTTTGTCAAAAATGAAATTTCAAGGATAAATGATTTTGGCCATTTCACAAAAATTTCCCAACTTCTCCAATGCATATCTTGCTCAATTTTGAAGTTATGAACATGTTCTTGGACATTTTGGAAAGTTCTTGAAGTCCTATAACCAATGCCTTTGGTCCCATGTCATTTTGATTTACCAATCTCAAGTTATGGTCTTTGACTTAAAGTGCCTTTTTGTTGACTTTTGAAAATGACCTATAATGTTGAAATTGATAACTTTTTGTGAGAGCATTTCTTGGACTTGGAATGTGAAGATGAGTTGTAGGAAATGTCTTCCCCTTCAAGATGATCATTGGATGGGATTTTTCTGATGAACCATGAAAAAGTTATGCCTTGGTTAAGTTACAGTTGACTTTTCAACTGTCCAAAAATAGAAACTTTTGACACCTTGATGATTTTTGAGCCATTCTTGAGGAATCATGATCAAGAATTGATCAAATGATGATTGTGGCTTCAAAATAAGATGTTGACCAAAAAATTTGACTTTTGACTGCCAAATGACCATTTTGCCCCTGCAGTTGACTGTGGAGCAATTAGGGTTTTTGACTGTGCAACTTGACCTTGTGAGCCTTGAAACTTGACATGTAGGTGCTTGATAATGTGTATGAGCATATGGGACTTGATTGAGCCATTGAAAACTTCAACTTCTTTGCAAGAACCAAAACCCTAATTTTGACTGGCTTAGGAGGATGGTTGACTGTGTAGCCTTTGAGTAGACTTTGAACCCTTTGAGGTGATGCTTGTCAAAAACTTTGAAGAATATGGGAGGGAAAATTTTGGAATACAACACCTACATTCAAAATGCATATATAAATGAATTGTGCATGATAAAATTTAAATGCACATATAAAGGGATATATTAAAAAATATATAATGAAAATATAAATGAATAAATTAAAACTTACAAATATGGCAATATTTTCTCTTGTTCCTCTATGAGTACCGCCCATGGTGAGGAGAGCCATAATTGAAAGTGTTTTAGAAATTGTATCAGAGAGTGTAAGAGTGTGTATCAGAGAGTGTGAGGATTGGTGATGCAAAACAAATCAAGTGTGGTCGGTATTTATATGCGTATGGGTAAATGGTTGGTTTAATTAGGTGGTTGAGGATTGGTATGCATGCTAGACACGTGTCACCCTTAAGCCAAATGGGATGACTCCTACATGTAAAGTAGAGAAAAGGCACCATTCAACATGGCGTGTGACATGCTATATGACAGCTAGTGTGCATGCTATGTGCCAACTAGTGTGCAAAATAGGCTGCATAATAGGTGGCAGGGCATAGGCGTGGCAGCTAGGGTTCAGGCCTAGTAGGGATGTGCCATCCCGTTTGGCGCCTAAGGCCAAATTTGAGAGGATGCACCATTCTATTTGGCTTATGGGTGACACGTGTCTGATTGACCATTTTGTCTTGTTCTTTTTATCTGCACCTATTTTATGCAGATTAGTTATGCTTGAATATCACCCCTCACACACTCAAACACTCAAATAATAAAATGGCATATCCATCATAATATGTTATCAATGCACACTTCAATGGTGAGACGTACTATTGTGATGTATCCGGTTTTTTATTTCGAAACACCGATAATATCCGTTTTTGTTTAAATAGAAAAACAAATTTCTCGTATTTCAAATATCACATAGAGGTCAAACTTCAACGAGGTCCAGTGGCACAAATCTTCTACCAACATCTTGTTTTTTTGGCACAAACCAAATAAAACTTTAGTAGGTAGAGGTTCAGGATGACGATGATCTACAAAATATGTTTTGTAATCATGAATATTCTGGGTACGACTCGATTGAGTTGTACATTTTGCTCCAACAACCTCAGATGCCACAACCAATTGAGTCACAAGTTGTTGATCCCATCGAAGATGAACAATCTGAAGTCGATGCAGTTGATGAATAAGAATAAGATCCAGAGTTAGAGGTTGATGACACGGTGAACGATGATTTTGAAGATGATGATCAATGTGCAATACCTCCAAATGAAATCTACACACCACCTTCGCATATGACAAACTTTAACATGGGTGGAGATGATCCGTCATCAGATATTTTCTACAACCCGTATATGCAGTCAGATGAAAATTTAAAAGAGAAAGACAAATTTTGTTCAAAAGAAGATTGTGTGCGAGCTATAAAAAAGTTTCACATGATAAACTCTGTCGATTTTAAAGTAGATCGAACAAATACAAATAAGTACAAAATCAAGTGTGTCCATTCAAAGTGTATGTTCATGCTCACAAATCATACATGATGAGAAGTGATTTCTGGGTGATAGACTATATTTCTCAACCTCACACTTACATTAACTCTAATAAATCACAAGATCATCGTAAACTAAGTTATGGTCTTATATGTCAAAAAATCTCACCCCTCTTCAGTAATGATCCGTCATTGAAGGTGAGAACAATAATCTCTCACATCACTATAATATACAACTATACTCCCTCATACAGAAAGGCGTGATTAGCAAAGACCAAAGCTATTGAAAAATATACGAAAACTAGGAGGATTCATACAAAGAACTACCAAGATACTTGCATGCACTTCACACATATTCTTTTGGAATTGTTTATATTATGGAAACATTGTCGGCGTATACCCCAGACGGTACTTGGTCAACATAAATGGAATATTCCGTTAACTGTTATGGGCTTTTCAATCTTGCATCAGAGGGTCTGCATTCTGCAAACCTATTATTCAAATAGATGGAACATGGTTGTACAAGAAATACAAAGGCACGCTACTGATGGCAGTTGCACAAGATGGTAACAATAACATTTTCCCAATTGCCTTCACTCTAATAGAGGGAGAGACCGATGGTTGTTGGAGTTTCTTTCTCAAGAATCTTCGAACACACATGGCTCCGTAATCTGGCCTTTATTTGATCTCTGAGATACATGCTTTTATTAAGAGTGAATGCAATAACCCTGCTAATGGTTGACATGACCCCCTACACATATCTAATGCGTTAGACATATCGTACAAAATTTCATGCGGGAGATCAAAGACAGGGCTCTTTGGAAAACAATTATGAATGTGGGGTATGCATTAACACAACCATCTTTCAAACACTATCGCATCAAGATCAAATTGTCAAACTTGGATGCTGGTAGGTGGATTGATAATCTTCTAGTGGAGAAATGGACCAGGTCATACAATAATGGACAACGATGGGGCCATATGACCACAAATATAGTTGAATTAATGAACAATATCTTCAAAGACATACGAAACCTCCCCGTATCCACTCTGGTGAAATCAACATATTTTAGGATGGCTTTGTTGTTTGCAAAAAGAGGTGAAAAATAGAAAGCGATGTTACAATCGGGACAACTGTGGAGTGAAAGCTGCATGAAATTTATGAAGGCAGAAAATGCCAAAGCCAACACCCATCATGTTACAAGATTCGACCGACATAACCGTAAGTTCATTGTCAAGGAGACAATCGACCACAATGATGGGCTGTCAAGACAAGAATATAAGGTTCTACTACCATCTCGTTGGTGCGATTGCATAAAGTTTCAAGCCTTTTGTATGCCTTACTCCCATGTAATTGTTGCATGTACGTATGCTCATCAAGATGCATTACTACTTCTATCACTCGCTTACAAGGTCAAGACCTTGCTCAACGTATACAACAATGACTTTCCAGGGGTAGCAAAAGAGGATTATTGGCCTGCGTATGAAGGAGAAATAATTTGGCACAATGATCAAATGCGAAAGAATAAAAATGGTCGTCCCAAAAGCAAGCGTATCACAACTGAAATGGATGCGCTTGACAAGCTAGAAAGAAAATATGGTTTATACCGTCAGGTCGGACACAATTGAAAAAATTGTCCCACTCGTGCTACTAGCTCGACAACATAAAATTTGTATGCATAATATCTACACTTTTTTAAGACCGAAACATAATTTTTTTCATTAAAAACATTTGTTACGACATACCAAACGCAAATAAAATGACATCACGACTAAAACAATAACACACACGCCACATAAATCAACAACACATACGTCAGATAAAAAGAACATCAATAACACGATAAAATATCTAAGAAATTACAACCTTCAAAATAATTTCATCGCTCCCATGCATTGTCACCATTATGTCTATGTCTATTTTGAATTCCTCCAACCAACTTTGATTTTTTCCAGTGGCAAGTGAGGTGACCGTTCTTCTTCTTTGGATCCTTCTAATTTGTTCGCCATATTGGATTTTCCCGTCTAACCATTAGATCAACTCTCTTTTAAGATGCTCCATGGGATGAATGTACCAAATTTTCATTTTAATCGCGGATTTAGTAGCCGAGGAAAAAACATACCCATCTCTTTTGAAAATATCTTAGATGTCATGATGAAAAAATTAGAGACAAAGTAAGAAAATAAGTGAAGAATGGAGGAGAAATGTGAGTTTTATTTATAGAAAACACATATACATGTAGGTGTCAGATGCGATGACGTCTCCTCCTAAAATTAGAATGCATACACCATCTCATATGTCTTAAAGCTAAAGATGCATGCGTCATATGAGATAGTTTGATCAAGTTATCCAATCTTAAAATATACTCATTTACATAATTTTCTATGAAACGTAATTATTTATATATTTTTTTTATTTAATTTTTTTTTCTAAAAACTGCTATTAATGCATTACTAAAATAAATCTAAGACATACGGATACAAATAGAAAAAAAAAATCACATTTTGGCGGGAATTTATTCCCTACTAACTATTTTTTCTTTTTTAATTTAATAATTGTCGATTAACAATAAAAAAACTAAAACTGTGTCGAGCTTGAAGAGGTGTGAACCCTAGACCGTCGCCGCTGCCACTCAACAGCCTCACTGCTTCCGTGCCGCTCCGACGCTCTACTGGAAGCCGACTGCTCAGTCTGTCCGTTCCGCTTCGCGTCGTGCTGTCACCATCTTCATCCGTTCACCGTTCGTAAAGGTGTGCTTACTTTATTTTCAATTTTGTGTTCGATACTTATAATTAGAGTTATCTTTGTTTATGTTTTGATTCTATATATGCCATGTGAGTATTCTATGTTTGTGAAATTGATTTTATATTGCGGATGTGGTTGAAATGCATGCAAAGTTATTCAGTTTAGCAATTTTTGCTACTCAAATTTAGTCACGACCTTCTTTTAGCGCGGACACCGGACACGGCATTGACACTTACACATTGACATCGGTAATAATTTTAAAAAAAATGAATACATTGAATGTAATCACAAGTGTCTGACACAGACGGTCACACGTCAGTGCTACAGAGCTAATTATTGCTTATGCCTATGTAGCACTGACACTACAGACATGTTTATTTGATAATTTCCATTTTATCAAATTGATAAAGTATCAATGTTGTATATGTGTTGGTACTGTCCCCGCACTGTTTACATCCATTTATCTAGGGTTTTGGCCTTTGTTAGACATAGTGAGTCTGATTAATGTTTTTGATTGATTGAAGTAGTGGAAGAAGGTTAGAGAGGAAGGATGTTGTGGGTTGACAAGTATCGTCCCAAGACTCTCGACCATGTTATGGTTCACAATGATATTGCTCAAAATCTCAAGAAATTGGTAACTCTCTCACACACTCTCATTTTGTATTTGAATTTGAATCAATTAAATTTGTCTTTTACTTGATACATTTTATTTTTGTTTGGATTGAATATGTTGTTGCAGGTTACTGAGCATGATTGCCCTCATTTGTTGTTCTATGGCCCATCGGGCGCTGGCAAGAAAACACTAATTATGGCTCTTCTCCGCCAAATGTTTGGACCTGGTGCTGAAAAGGTCCGTCTTTTAAAACCCTTTTTTTTTGTTTCACTGATTACTTTTTTAAGAAAGTATCTGAATTTTCAATTACTTTTGGTCTGTTCCAAGAGAATGCAATTCTTGTGTGAGCACCAAGAGTATAACTTTAGTAAGATGTGTTGTTGATTTTCTTTTCATATTATAAAATTATCAAGTTTCATTAAGTTTTTTGATTTGATGTACTTGTAGATTCCGTGTTTATGCTAGAACAACTGTTATTTACTTCTTGGTGCTGTAATTCGATGCCTTTCTAAATTCTCTTTTTTAATGTTTCAGGTGAAGGTGGAGAACAGGGCGTGGAAAGTTGATGTAAGCTTCATTCTTTTTCACACCACCCTTTTCTTTCCGTTCTGTTGCAAACTTTTATTTATTGGAACTACTCTTATATTCGGATAGTTTAGTAGATTTTATTTGTTCCCTTAGTTAGTGAGCAATATCTGTTTGGATATTATTATCGACCTCTAAGTTTCAAACAGTTTTGGTATGTTGGCAGAGAAGAAAAGTTCCAAATAATCAGAAACCTTATTGAAGTCAACTCGCACCGATATATTTTTACAATGTATATAATATGACAGTGGTGTTGGTTTTGCACAAATGTTTTAACTATAGGAGATGACTCTAAATGAATACCTTCAAGTTCTAGTAAACAAATATTTACTTGAATTTCGTTGCTTAGAAATATCTATTGATCCTTTGAGATTTCAATATCACGTGCACTGCATTGGATTTTTTCTGTATAATAAACTGAATAATTGGTGTTTTATTTAGATATTTATTATTATTTTGAAGTAGTTGATAATTCGTTTCAGGCTGGGAGTAGATCTATTGATTTAGAGCTGACTACATTATCAAGTGCCAATCATATTGAAATGACTCCAAGTGATGCAGGCTTTCAGGACAGATACATTGTTCAAGAAATAATCAAAGAAATGGCCAAGAATAGACCCATTGATACTAAGGGGAAGAAAGGATTTAAAGGTAACTATCTGTCTTTTTGTTAACCTATGCACGTGTTATTTTAAAACAATAAAAGAATGAATCTTTGTATGGTCAGCAGTGTGTAGCTTTTAAGCACATATGAGTGCTATCTTTCAATTGTTATGTGCTGTGAAACATTTTCTCTTAGATTGTGTAGATTGTTGTTTGGTCTGGTAATGTCTAATTCACTCGTGTAATGCTTTTAAGCTCTGTTCCTTTACGGCTGTATCAAAAAAGAAATGTCTCCACCTTGGCTTGTATGATAAATGCAAGATTTGCAAGCTTTTTTATTTTAATTTTATTTTTCTTCTTTTAGTTTGCTTCGGTCTTTGCGTACTGATGTCTGATTTTATTTCTGTATCAGTACTAGTGCTTAATGATGTTGACAAACTCTCTAGAGAAGCCCAACATTCTCTCCGCAGAACAATGGAGAAATACAGTGCTTATTGCAGATTAATTCTATGTTGCAATAGTTCTTCAAGAGTAACAGAAGCAATTCGCTCTCGTTGTCTTAATGTACGAATAAATGCACCAAGTCAGGAACAGGTACATAGATTTATGTCTGCTGTGGCGTCCAAGGAACGAAAAGGAATTTGCTTCCTCTGTTTTAGTATATTTTCCCCTTGCTTTTTAACATCTGAGGCAATTGTTTTCTCTGGTAGGGTTGTGACTTGTGAGTAGTAAGTAGTTTCATTGGTTACAATGTGTTATTATTTTTTGCTTGTCACTTATTTTAAGTACATGGGAAGGAAGTTTAGGTTTCCGATTATAGAATGCTTTTGTAGATATATTGAAGGACATTGATATAACTTTTTGGGATTTGATCAGGTTCTCTGCAAAGAATTTTATATGCTTAATTATTGATCTTTTTTTGTTAATAAACACTTTGATTAGCATATCCACTCTGTGAATTGAATGTTAACAGACATTGTTATATACTGATCTTGTCTTGCATATCCATTCTATAAGTTGAACGTTCCTCTTTATTGAATCTTTGGAAATCCATATGGCAGATTGTTGAAGTTTTACAGTTCATTGGTAAGAAAGAAGGACTTCAACTTCCTCCTAACTTTGCTGCTCGCATAGCAGAGAAATCTAACAGGAATTTAAGGAGGGCCATATTGTCATTTGAGACTTGCCGTGTCCAACAGTAAGCTCCACTAGCTTCCAATTTAACACGGGATCCATAATCTCTAATATTATTCTCTTCTCAAACCTTTAAGGAAAACTACTGATAGCCCTCTTTGTAGGTATCCTTTTACTGACAAGCAAACAATTTCTCCAATGGACTGGGAAGAATATATTTCTGAAATTGCATCTGACATAATGAAGGAACAGAGCCCAAAAAGGTTTGCTTTTGATTCAGTTTGCAGTTTTCTGATCTTTCATGATTATCTAAAATGTTTCACTGAACCTTGTGAGTTCATGAATGGTATTGGGACATAGGATAAGGAAGTTTGCCTACCCGTTGTGTTGTCAACTAATCTTTGTTTTGCTTACGTGTGCGATGCACATTTTTTCTCCCATATAACATGCTCTTATGTTTAGGCTGTTTCAAGTTCGGGGAAAGCTGTATGAGTTGCTGATCAATTGCATTCCTCCAGAGATTATTTTGAAGGTAAATAGCCATGTTGCTTCACATTGTCCCAATGCAAGGACTTTTCTTTGATTTTGCTTTTTCGTGCTTAACTTTGACATTATAATTATTGTTTCAGAGGCTTCTTTATGAGCTCTTGAGGAAACTAGATGCAGAACTGAAGCATGAAATCTGCCACTGGGCAGCATATTATGTAAGTGCATTATCAGTATGACGTTTCATGTCAGCAGATAGAGTGCTTATGATAGTGTCTTCTGCTTGAACCCGGCGGGCCTTCTCTATTTGTTTTACTTGTTATTTGTCAAATTAAAGAGTTATTGATTCTTCTTTCCCTTCATTGAACCAGGAGCATAGGATGCGCCTTGGGCAGAAGGCAATTTTTCACATCGAAGGTACTTTGATGAACAGTTACCGATTCTTTTTTCCCTCTACTTTTTGGACTCATTGGTCTAGACTTGTTTGTTTATAGCTATTTCTTTATATGAAGTGGATATATATTGGTACTCCCTCCGTCTCATAATACGTGTCTAATTTGAGTTCTGCGCGGTTCTTAAGAAAATGATTAGATATGTTGATTTTAATGATAAAATTAGTATCATTTACTAAAACACCCTTAATTATTATAGTTAGTGGAGTAGTTGAAAAGCGTGAAAGCTTATAAATAGGGGTATAGTAGTGAAAAAAAATAATAAATGTTGTATTGGTATTTGAAATATACATTTATTTTGAGACATAGAAAAAATACAAATGAAACACTTATTATGAGACGGAGAGAGTATAATACAAGCCATGGATCTATTCAATAATTGCATACTGATTGTAATTATTTATTTTCCCAACACTGGCAGCATTTGTGGCTAAGTTCATGAGCGTCTACAAATCCTTCCTCATTGCAACATTTGGCTGAAGAAAGGATGATGGTTTTCTTTTCCATGATATATTTTAATTGTGTTAATTACTGGTAATAACTTTCATGATGAGTTTTCTCTCACCTTTAGGTTTTCTGATCTTGTATTAATACTGCAATCATGGTGGTGTATTTCTGATGTTTCGGTATGTATAGATGTTATGTTTTGTTTCCTAAAATTGTGTGTACTTTGAATGATGTTTGATTATTGCTCCTTCGCATTTGCTGCGGGTTCCATTGAGAGGGAATTAGTGCATGTTTGGATTTGCAAGTGCGGTGAATTTGATAGTCACAACAGTGACATCACCCGTTTAGTAGAATAAGGTTTGGTTGTTTTTATTGTAAGGCATTGTTAGCAAGAAACTACCATTGTTGGCTTCTTCTCGGTGCATGGTGGCGGTGAGGGACCCTACAAACATATATTTGTCTTTAAAATTGTCTTGAAACTAAAGACTACATAAAATCCCATGATGTAGATTCATCAGCTGTATTATGTATGATTGTGTCCTCCTTTGACACAAGAAGAGTTGCTAACCAAACTTGAATTACAAATGTCACTCATTAATGTGAAATGGTCCAATTGTCACATTTATAACAATGTAATTAGTCGTTATTTTAGGCCAGCACTGCTTTTCTTGTAAAAACCAACATCCGGCCCTACTGAATAATGCTGCACTGCACGTGTCAGTTCACTCATTTTATGGAACGGTTCATAGGTGAGAACTCATCTTTGTACGAGGAAAAAAAGAAGTAAAAACTCATATTTGACCTACCCAAAGTTATATTATCATCAATGCTAAAGGTGATAACTCATCTCGTGAGAGAAAAAAAGAAGTAAAAGCTCATATTTGACCAAAAAAAAAAACTTTTTAAGACAATTTTAATATATTCAATAATGAATATTGATGGACATGCAGCTTTCCCTTACCTTTACCTCCAATTGAAAATTATTACATATTTTACGCAAGTACATTCTCTATAGCAAATTATAAGCAACTTTGATTTTTTTTTTGTTTTACATTTGGCAGTCAAATTCATTTATAATTCATTACGAGGAGTACATCAACATGATGGTATCTACTCTAACTCACCCTTTATTACAAGATCATTTCTTATTACATATATTAAAAACAAATTAGTTGTAACAATAAAATTTGTTTTAAAAAAATGTTATCCTATATATTGTCTTTTTTTAATGGTAAATTGTCTCACTATATGTTTAAATTTTCAGTGGTTAATTACCACTTCGTTGGATAACTAAAGAAATGAAACGGTTTTATAATCATAAATTGTTAGTGTTTTATTACACTTATTTATTAGAAGGTGGAAAGTTAGATCTAGGTACAAGTTTGGTCGTCACACGGGTAACCAAATAAAAAGTTATTGCCCTTATCCCTCTTTATGTCTAAAGTTGTTTTAAGCAACCAAGACTAGCTTCCTTTTCAACTAGAAACCCTTGAAAATAATTATATGGTTGTGGTCACCAATGTTCCTATCAATCCCTCCAAAACGTGTACACAATAATCCAACTTATACTTTTTATATTATTCTCTCCTTTTCACAATATCTCCCATATTTCACTTTTTTTTTTATAAATTAAAAAATATAATAAATAAAAAGATAATTATATTTATACAACTTTTGTTCTGGACTGGGCCCGACAGGCCCAAAAGCATTGCTAAGGCCCAGTCCAAATGGACTTACTAAGGACCACGCCGACCAAAGAGTCACGACCGTGCCCGACGGTTAGTCGCATGCCCGACAGCTACACCTCCAGCTCGACATACTGCGGTCTAACTCCACATCCTGGTGTCCAGCTCGACATTGCCTCGAGCACCCCAACTAGGGCAGACTCAGTCCACTGTTCCCCCAACGATACCCCAAAAAGACCGCGTCTCCGTCCGCCCGCACTTCACGCAGAACATCCAGGAAGGGGACCACGTGCGGGTCCCCACTACGCACGTAGAACCTGGCAGTTCCTCCATTGGGCCAAACCTGCCCGGCCCAATGAAGGAACCTTGGCCCAGCGCTGGGGGCTATAAATACCCTCTATTTCCAGAGGGTCAGGTATTCATCATTCTAACCATACACTTGCTATTATCTGCTCGTACTCCTACTTACTTCAGCATCGGAGTGCCTTGCAGGTACCCTCCCCCCCACTTCGTTCAAAAAGCTTTCTGCTCGGAGCCAACCGTGACGGTCCATTTCTGATCAGGTCAGATCAGTGGCGCCGTCTGTGGGAAACTAGCTTCCCCGTCTAACGAACAACTCTAAAGACCAAAGCTCAATTCAAACTATCTGTCATGGCTGATCCAGCTCGCGACGAGCAGCACGTCCGTGTCGCCGACACTAATAACGGCACCGCGGACAAGAATGGACACCTCGATAACCCCGGTGATCCCGGCCACAGTACCATTCCTGTGACGACCGCCCCTGGAACTTCCTCCTATAGGGACGGGGCTACTGCATCATCCTCCCCGATCCCACCACCACTTGAAGACGACCCGGTAGCTCTCGCTCATTATAGAGCTGCCCGATTCCACGAAGTCCCAGTCCCCGCCGGGGCAGATGCCACGACTCAGGCACTGTTCACGGCCATTAATCAGACGAACTATCTCATCTTCGCCCAAGGAGAAAGACTAAGGGCACTTGAAGATGACCGACGACCTCCGAGGAGGCATCGAAGGCCACATTCTCCACCTCCTCGGGTCACAGAAGTTCGACACCCTTCTCCCCCGCGGACACACTACAGGGAGAACTCCAGGAGCCCCTCTCCCCGGCCAAAGCAGAGGCGGCCCTACTATGAGAGACAGCCCGCCATCCTTGCCGGAGAACCCAGTCGCGACCCGTCAAGGCACGACAAGAGGCACGCCGGGGACGGGCGTGTGACATTCAACCACCGAGCATCACGCTCGAGGGAAACTCAGCACGACCATCGTGCCAGACAAAACTACAGGTCCCCATCTCTTTCTCCGGAGAGGAGCGACGAGGACGACCCCCGCGGTCCCCTGTCGCAGGCCATCATGGATGCACCCATCCCCCCGGGCATGGAGAAGCCCCCACATCTGAAGGAGTATGACGGAGTTGCGGACCCGGTCGACCACATTGACGGGTTCGAAGCCATGCTCCACTATCATAATGTCGGGGGGCCCATCAAGTGCCGTCTTTTCCCCACGACTCTCAGGAAGGCGGCCATGGACTGGTATAAAGGACTCGCCCCGGGCTCAATCACGTCGTGGCGGAACCTGAAGAACCAGTTCATCAGTTCCTTCACAGCTTCTCGGCGCCATCCGAAGACCGAGGCGGCCCTCGAGGCCATCATCCAAAGACAGGATGAAACCTTGAGGGAGTTCATCAACCACTTCAACCGAGAAGCAATACAGGTCCCCTGCGCGGACCATATGAAAAGATACTTGCTGGAAAGGGGTCTCCTCCCCGGCACAGAATTCAGAAAGGCTGTGGGTATTGAGCCACCTCCGACTTTTGATGCCCTCCTCGATAAGGCCCGAGCATATATGGACTACGAGGAGAGGGAAGCTGCCAACAGGGCCCGAGACTCAAGGGCTCGGGGTCCAAACAACAGCAGCAGCTCACGACAAGAGGCTCCTCCCCGACGTACGGGGGAGAAAAGGAAAGAAGACCGACCCCGGGAAGTCCGGGAGCAAAGGGGCCCCTCGGGCCGTTTCACCGAGTACACTCCGCTCACAGCTTCCCGCGAGCGTATCCTGGCGGAGTGTTCCAGTACAGACTTCAAGGACGGCGGCGTCAAGCGTCCCCGGCCTGCTCCAGCCAAGCCAGGGGCAGATAAAAATAAATACTGTCAGTACCATAGGAGTCATGGCCATTTGACAGAGGATTGCGTCCACCTCAAGGACGCCATTGAAACCCTCATCAAAGGAGGGAGGCTCACGCAGTACAGGCGAAACGACACTCCTCGTCGTGACGCCCATGAAACCAAGGAGCCCGAAGAAGACGCCCGACCATCAGACGAGTCGGTGCCTATCCAGACCGCCTTCTCAGTAACCAGGCCCGAGGATTTCGACATTCCCGAGCTCCTGCAGGAGCCGCTAACAACGCACAGCAGGTGGGAATACTTTCCCTCCGCCATGGTCATCAACGGGGGCGGGTTCAACGACCTCACCATCAATTCAGCTAAGAGGAAGTTGGACGAGCTGGTCGACATAGCTCCCCCACAAACTGTAATGTTCGAAAGGGTGAAGGGCAGGTCAGAGCCCATCACCTTCTACCTAGAAGAACTCCCCGGCGGAGCCCCGAACGCGGTCATCCCCTTACTGATAAGGGCAAAAATGGCCAATTTTGACGTGCATCGCATCCTGGTCGACGAAGGGAGTTCCGTCGACGTGATGTACAGCCAACTGTTCCGGACCTTACAACTGGACGACTCACATCTCTCTCTGTATGTGGGGTCGGATCTACAAGGCTTCAACGGCTCGACTTCCAAACCTTGGGGTTATGTCGAGCTCCTGGTTACGTTCGACGAAGGAACGGCTACGAGACAGGTTAAGGTCCGCTTCCTCGTCATTGACTGCCCGTCTCTATACAATTGCATCTTGGGGAGACCGACACTGGCGGAGCTGACGGCGGTGCCCTCGACCGTCCATTTGAAGATGAAGTTCTACACCAAAAGGGCACGGGTAGCCACCATCCAAGGAGACCTAGCCGCTGCCCGTAGGTGCTTCAATGCTGCTTCTAAGGGACGGGATACCGTCGACGTAGGGACCAGACCCGCCAAAAGGACAAAACAGGAGCCCGACAGGAAAGCATCTCCCGTGGAAGAAGTCCAGAAGGCCCCACCAAAGGTCGACTCCATAGCCCTTGACGCTCGCTTCGATCAGGACGAGCCATCCAGCAGCGAGCAAATCCCACTCCGACCAATTCCGGACGGGGATTTTGAACTCGTTCCCCTCGGCACAGACCCGACCAAGGGAGTGAAGATTGGTAAAGACCTCCCCGATTTGGCCAGGAAGCAAATCAAGGCC